CCAACAGCACTATAACTCAAGTCTAAAAGAAGCCTACCTGACACGCATACTTTCTCTGTAAGGCACGTCACAGCCTGCTTGCGTGTGGAACATGAGACAGCACTTCAGCATTACGCGTAGGGGCCATTTTAAACAGTGAAATCACCAATGAAAGCGCGAAAATTCAAAACATGTGGTAGAGACAGACGGTGAAAAGAATAATTCCTTACAGCATGAGAGTTGAAACAAGAAAGCAGAACACCCCCTTGCTCCCCTCGGCTGGGAACATGTGCACAGGTCAATCAAATTTTTCACTGATCTTCACATGTCCACAAATGACCACAAAAGTGCAGCAAGTATTGATTTGGGGGTCACAGATAAATTTTAGCGAGTAGGCAAATTCACAAATATGGACTCTTGTCGAGTTCCCCATGGCAAAGGGGGCAGGAACAGAGGAGTAGAGAGGGGTACGTAAGGTATCTAAGCTGATGGTTCTGAGGCAGCCTCACAGAGTTTACCTGCTCCCAGCATGCAGGTAACCATGTTCTCCTACGAATGCTGTAGGGGCTCAGAAGCAGCTGACCTAGAGGCAGTGAGGGCATGCCATCCAGGTGAAGAAAGAAGGATGCATCAATGTATTATATATGATTGATGGTCATATACCAGCCAGGACTTAGGACACTCCGGTGAATACCAGAGTCCACAGATAGCAGAGGAAGACCAGATGCCTCCTGCCTCCACATCCCCACCCCACCTATGCTCCCATGCCAAGGCACTCCGTCAGCTCTCTGGAAATTGGATGCATCCCTCAAAAAAGGGAGTTCCTCAATTGACTGAAATTGTACTGAATGTACTGATAAACCCATAAATTGACTCAGATCTGGTTTCTGCTTAAAATAGAAATAATCCTAAATATTCAAGCATCTTGGGCCCCTAATGAATAAGTTGGGTCATTTTAGGATTTGTTCACCATTAACACATACTTATTGCTATACTTATAATGTGAAAAATACCATATTAAGCATGTCACCCCCTAGATGGACACTAAGACAATCACAACAAAGAAATACAAGATAACCTATAATATGCATGGGATACCTTGGCACACACAAGGATTACAGCAATTGAAAGGAGAAAAATATCACTTTGAATGTCAATGCATGGGGAAACTGCACAGAGGAGGAGGGATGATTTGACCAGGTCATAAAATACGAGAATGGTTCACATAAGTAAAGTGAAAAGCCGGAAGGTATTTTATGTGGGGAGAACACATGAACAAGGTGAACGGCAAGAAATTTCAAGGTATGCCTGGCGGAAAATAAGTAGACTGGTTGAAGTCAAGTAGAATAATAATAAAGAATAGTGAGAGACAGGCATACAAAAAGAGGAACCCATTCAACTTGGTGAATGACTAGATATGAGAACAAAGCAAAAAAAAGCACAATAGATGAAACAAATTTGAGCTTGAGGACTGAGAATTGTGGTGTTAATGACAAATGACAGAAGTAAAGAAGCCAGAAGAGAAGTAGTTCGAGGTGAAATAAGTGATGAGTTTGAAGTGACAACATGACATCATTGGGGAATTGACAAGCAAGCAGCTGAACGTATCAAACTGGATCTCAGGGGAGAAGCGGAATTGGAAATGTGGATTTGAGAATTATCAGTACTAAGATAACCACTGAAGCCTGTGAGTGGGTGAATATCTTAAGTGAGGCAATTAGAGAGAAGAGGAAGAGGAGGAAGAAGTGTCCACAAAAAAGGAGCGGTCAGAGAGTGGAAATGTACATATTATACCAAGAGCAGAGTGAGGAGAGAAATGTGAGTGAATGATCAACTATGTCAATTGCTACAAGGGATAACAGAGATACAGGACTAAGGAAATTCAACTGAGTTTGCTGACAAGCAGTTTACTCTTGAGAGAGAAACTTGAGTAGAGTGGTTGAGGTGAAAGACAGAATACTTTCAAGAATGGGTTAAAATTTGCAACAACGTGGATGGACCTTGAAGGTATATGCTAAATGAAATAAGTCCCACAGAGAAAGAGAAATACCGTATGATTTCACTCAGATATGGAAGATAGACAAACAAACAAACACATAGAGAACAGATTGGTGGTTACGAGAGAGGAAGGGCAGGGGAGGGTGAGAGGGATAAAGGGGCACACTTGTGGTGCTGTATGGAAACTAGATTTATGGTGGTGAACACGATGCAATCTACATAGAAGTCGAAATATAATGATGTACACCTGAAATTTATATAATGTTATAAACGAAAGTGACCTCAATAAAAAATCAATTAATTAATTAATTTAAAAAAACACAAAAACAAAATTTTAAAAAAACAGGTTAAAGAGTGAGTCTATAGAGGAAGAATGGAGATAACGATTATTGATCACTGAGAGAAAGTCTTGAAATTACTAGGTTTGCAGCATCGTCAAAGAAAAGGATGGGGAAGTGCTCATTTTGGTTTGTTTTTTGAGGTTTCTGCATACAAAGAGGAAGGGTCCAATGGAAAAAGAATAAATGAAGATTCAAGACTGATGGGACTAAGACTCCAGAAAGGCTTATTAATAATAAGATCTAACTCTTTCATGGTTCTTTTTATGTTCCAGGCACTGTTCTAAGTGCTTTTCACGTATTAGTACATCATCATCTCATGGTACATACTCTAATAAGGTGGGTACTATTATCATCCTCATCTGACAGATGAATAAATGGGAACATACAGAGGCTAAATGACTTACCCAATATCACAGTCTGGAAGGAGTGGGTCAAGAAATGAGCAGAGACAGACTGACTAGAGACGTCGTGATCTTATCTACTGGGCTAAATTACTTTCAAGGATTAAAGAAGGAAGTAAGAGTAATGACTCCATTCATTAGATTGGGGGAAAGACAGGATATTCCAAGATGAAAAGGAAAGTACCCGAGCATCCTCATAGATCATATGACATCATATGATAGAGCTCTATCTTGAAAGTAAGAGAAGAGGGTAGGGGTCAGGGTAAGGATGTGGAGACACAAGGAGTCTAATGAAGATTTAGAAGAGAGGAGCACACACTACAGATTCAACAGGAGAATAAAATCTGTTACACACTTGCTGTAGCCCCAGTTGATGAGGGACCATCAAAGATAGTGAAGTCAAGTTCAGTGTGGCTCTCCAGGGGGAAGGGTGGGAAGAGTTGAGTTTGGAGATGAGACTAGCACGTAAAGCTTTAAACTCAGTCATGGGAATGATGTTAGGGTATTGGGGAGAAGTTAATTTGGGTGGCAGATTATATTTTATAATTCCAGGCAAGAAGCTATTTCAAGTAAAAAAGACAAATCTTGACAACTTAGTATGCTACTGGCCCAATATATACAACACAAAGTGTGTAAACATAGATATCAAATTGGGTAATCCACATATTTTAATAGAAGCAACTGAAATACAAGACAAAGCAATTGAATCTTCCATCAAGAAATATTGTCTTACTACATTATTATTATTATTATCATTATTTCAGATGTGGATATTTCTGTATTCAATATCAATAAGTCTCAGACTCTGAAAAACAAAATCTATTATGAAGATTGTGTAGACTGAAAATAGTTTTGCAGGCTCAAATGGCTCTTATACATTGTTCTTCACAGCCTGACCAAGCACAGGCTAAAATATGGACAAAATACTGACTCTATCCTTGCTGAATGCTTCCAGAAAACACTACCAAAATATCAAAAAAATGAGCTATTTAATGCAATTGATATCTATAAAATACAATTATAACATTATCATAGGGGACAATTTATAGGAAAATGGTTATGTTATTATCAGAATTATTAACTCTATTTAATAGCTAAATGGATTTCATAGATGTTGGCAAGCATTTTCCCTGAAATACTTCTTTTTTCTAGACCAAGAGTAAGAAACAAACGGTTATAAAAATATCATCCTGAACTTTGCCCAAAAACATTTTGTTTGCAGAAAATGGATAATTTAAATGTTTAATTCAGGGTTGATCATTCAGTCATGATAGATGCTATTAAATATAAAAAGTGAAATTTTCTTCATATAATAGTGTTCACTTTTTAGATGATTATTTGCTTTTAGACTGGGTTTATGAACATTTTTTCAAAAGAACATTTCAGGGCCCAAGGAATGTTGTTCAACTACATTCTGGAACAGATGGCCTTGATTGATTTCTAAGCATACAGGTGTATTTTGTTAGATACAGAGAATTTGCAAAATAAATGCGTTTAAACAAGATTTTGAATTTTATAAAAAGATTTAATTACAAGTTAAGTTTGACTAATCAATTCTTTTAGGAAATTTTCAGGGTCTAAGAGTCTGTACTAGCCAGGATGTCCTCATGGTAATGCTCAGAAGAGCGAAGGGCACTTATATGTAAGCCTCATGTGGTATCGACTGCTTGCTTCTAATGGAACATTTATGATTGCATTCCAAAGCCAACTATAAATATTTTTTCACTTTTAAAATATAGACATATACATATATTTTTAGGTACTGAACACTTCATTATTTTTATATATCTTATTACTATACACTATGAAGCAGATAGACACATTTTAAAATGTTAATATTATTTTACAGATACTTGCAGAAATTCTAAGTATTTCTTTGCCCATTGACTGCAGTAGTAAGTGTCTCCCCATTAAGTAACTGTAATTTAAAGAAGCTTTTTAAGAACACTGAACTAATACTGGAAGATAAATTAATAATGGCATCTTGTAAGGTTTGGGAAAATTTCTTGAGATTTCCACCTTGGGGTTAGAACATGAAACAATGAGGAACATAAATCAGGAAATGACTTTGAAAGCAAAAATAAATATTTAATAATTTCTCAAGGTTAATTATTATCTTTTTGTAAGGTCATGTGCTTTAACACAAATATTTAATATCCTTAATATATTTAAATATTAAATATTTAAATATTCTTAATATATGTTCCCTCTACATTTCAGAAGTTAAGCATAAAGAAGTTCACAGCACAGAACAATTCCTATTTCGGCAGAGAATTCTCACCTTATTATACACGTTGTGACTAAACAGGGTGTGAGAATTGTCCTGTTCATCACTCAGTGAGAAGGAGGACAAATGACTGAAGGGTCCTGGGGTGAGACAGTCAGCGTGTGAGAGGGTCTGTGGGTGCAGCAAGGACTTAGCAGGAGGGTAGAGTCTAGTCTGATATAAAGGATGGAGAGAAACAGGCTTGTGAGGGACTGTCACTTCCTGGGAAGAAGAAAGGCATAAAGAGCACATTAGTGGCCAAAGTCAAGCTCACTTGGAATTAAGTCTAGACATTATAGACGTTATGTCAGAATCTCTTACTAGGAAGAAGAAAACCTCTCCTCATATTCGGGTCCCTCACAAGACACCTGCTTTCATAGTGTGTTGTTTGTCTCTTTCAATAATTCTTGTCAGATTCCCCCCTCCAGCCTCTTCTACAGAACTAAATGCCTGCAGTTTCTCCCGAAGCGTGGCAAGTTTGTTATTTTTGAAAGTATTGAGAGGAGAAATGTTTCAGGAAGGAGAGAGTTCATCCTAAAAGGGGGTAGGATGAGATTACAAAAGTCTTCATCGAAGAGGTAGGTAACGGTGGAAATTAATTTAAGGGTGCTTATGATTTGGTCTGGAAGAAATTGGGGGAGAAAGGGGAGGGCATCGTAGAGGATATCAACGTGTGAGCTGGGGCAAAAGCACTGGTTTAATTCATGCTACAGTAAGTTGTTGAGTTGGGCTGAGTATGGGCAAGGGATCAGGGAGAAGTGAGTCTGGAAAGAACGAATGAAGTCTTCAGTTCCAGGCAGTGTGTTGCTTTGGAGAGAGAGCAAATAGATGAGTTTAATTGTAGAAAGGAGAGGTGATGAGGCCTTAACTAGAGTGGGTCCTTAACTTGGAAAGGGGTTGAATGCGAAACCCTTTGGGGAAGTAGGAGCTACTAGATGAGGCCATGAATTATGTGAATGGAGCAAGGAAATCACAAGTGTGATTCCTTTGAGCCTACAGAGAAAAGTTTCAAAAAGGGCCTAGATACATATATATCCATGAAATTAAAGGGCTGCTTATTTGTAGATATACAGGCACATCCTATATTTCTGAAATATTTCATGTAAGGTAATAAATTGACAGTGATTATCTTACAGTAAAACCCCTTAGGAAATGAACCTTATAAAGCAAAACCTATTTTATTCACCTTTGTGACCTCAGAGTCAAGCACAATGCCTAATATAATAGATGCATAATGCATTAATGATTGAACTTTCAAAGGAATATGATATTTTCTATGAGTTAAATAATGCATTCAATTATTCTTTTATTTCCCTGCTCCATAAGCAATGAATGAATATGCTTGGCTTTATGAAAAATGGAAATTTATTTATTTATTTATTTTTATTTATTTTTTTTTTTGTGAGAAAGATCAGCCCTGAGCTAACATCAATGCCAATCCTCCTCTTTTTGCTGAAGAAGACTGCCCCGAGCTAACATCCATGCCCATCTTCCTCCACTTTATGTGGGACGCCGCCACAGCATGGCCTGACAAGCGGTGCGTCGGTGTGCACCCAGGATCTGAACCCAGGCCGCCAGCAGCGGAGCACGGGCACGTAACCGCTACGCCACAGGGCCAGTCCCAAAATGGATATTTAATATAAAATAAATAAACATTGCTCAAAATGACACTCAGCTAACACGTAAATTCAACTTTTAAAACCATATAACTGGGATTGCCCCGGTGGGGTAGTGGTTAAGCTCATGCACTCTGCTTCGGCGGCCCAGGGTTTGCAGGTTCGGATCCTGGGCGTGGACCTATGCACCGCTTATCTAGCCATGTTGTGGTGGCATCCCACATATGAAATAAAGGAAGACTGGCACGGATGTTAGCTCAGTGACAATCTTCCTCAAGCAAAAAGAGGAAAATTGGGAACAGATGTTAGCTCAGGGCCAATCTTCCTCACCAAAAAAACCCAAAAGACAAAACTGTACACTTAATACTTTTTCATGTAACCTGAATTCATTTTGCCAAAACCATGTATTTTTTATTTTTTTGAGGAAGATTAGCCCTGAGATAACATCTGTTGCCAATCCTCCTTATTTTTGCTGAGGAAGACTGGCCCTGGGCTAACATCCGTGCCCATCTTCCTCTACTTTATATGGGATGCTGCCACAGCTTGGCTTGATAAGTGGTGCATAGGTCCACGCCCAGGATCCGAACCGGCAAAGCCCAGGCCACCGAAGCAGAGCACACAATCTTAACTGCTGTGGCACCCGGCTGGCCCCCAAACCACGTATTTTTAAGCCACCGATTGGTTGTCTAAAATTTATGCTGAGGGCCGGCCCCGTGGTTTAGTGGTTAAGTGCGCACGCTGCGCTACTAGTAGCCCAGGTTTGGATCCCTGGCGCGCACCAACGCACTGCTTCTCCTGCCATGCTGAGGCCGCCTCCCACATACAGCAACTAGAAGGATGTGCAACTATGACATACAACTATCTACTGGGGCTTTGGCGGGAAAAAAAAAAGGAGGAGGATTGGCAATAGATGTTAGCTCAGAGCCGGTCTTCCTCAGCAAAAAGAGGAGAATTAGCGTGGACGTTAGCTCAGGGCTGATCTTCCTCACAAAAAAAAATAAATAAATAAAATAAAATAAAATTTATGCTGAATGTGTTTGCTGTATCAGAAGATCCTCCTGCAATAGGTTTAAAACTTACTTTAAAAAACTCTTGGAGGGACCAGCCCATGGCCTAGAGGTTAAGTGCGCGCACTCTGCTGCTGGCGACCCAGGTTCGGATCCCGGGCACGCACCGATGCACCGCTTGTCAGGCCATGCTGTGGCAGCGTCCCACATAAAGTGGAGGAAGATTGGCACGGATGTTAGCTCAGGGCCGGTCTTCCTCAACAAAAAGAGGAGGATTGGCATGGATGTTAGCTCAGGGCTGATGTTCCTCACCAAAAAAAAAAAAAAACTCTTGGAAAATTTTAAGCAAGTTAGAAAATTATAATACTAAAGATTTTAAGTTTGCAGAAATGAAAGGTTTTAACCCTCTGTACTTTGAAAGTGTGACTAAATGTGTTTCATTTTTATTAGTTTCCTGTTTGTGCTTCAAGTGCTTATTTTACATATCAAGCGAATACAAATATACACTCTCATTTTACACACACAGACCACAAGCATACATTTATTAAAAAGACAGCACCCTCTTTACAATATTCTGTATCTTACTGGAGGGTCTTTTTCCTGCTTGACAACAGTTTTGGAATATTTCTGTATCAGCACCTAAAAGCTATGGATTCCCTACCGAGACACATGACTGAGTTACCTCACTGCATTGTCCTTCAGTGATTCTCTTGGAAGCTCCAGGTACATCACCTAAAATATGAAATCACCTAACAAAGTGATAAATTTACCTCCTCTTTACCAGTTTTTATACTTTTCATTCCTTTCTTTTGTCTAATTCCATTGGCTGATACCTCTAACATCATTAAATAATTGTCATGTTAGTGTGTAACTTGAATGGAATGCTTGTAGTATTTGCCCATTAAAGACGACTTTTAGATTGAAATATATTCTAATTTTGTTTTATTTCTCAATCAAATTTTTCATTATTTTATCAATAACTAATTACATTTCTTAATCAATGCAGAAAGTGACTAATATGAAAACTGAGTAGCAAGCACAAAAAGGCAGCATTGTTATTGATAGTTGAAGGTGCCTAGGAAGAGATGAGCTGAACAGTCTCTGGTTTATTTTCTGGCTTCAGCTTTTCCTGGAATGTTCAAGAACCCATTGTGAGGATGTCAGAAGGCGAGGCTGCAGTGATCCAGGGGAAGCAGGGGGTTCCCTATATGCAGGAATCCTGCAGGGTCAAGGTCTAACCAATCAGGAGGGAAATGTTTGGTGAGGGTGTGCTGCTCTGTTTTATGGTTCTAAGCTCGCCTCGGGCAACATCCATTTCTCAGGAGTTGGTTAAACCTGAACACTTCTGTAGGGTCAGATGGTGTCAGCTGTTCCAGGCAGTGGTATCAGCTATTCCAGGCAGCTGGTCAGGGAGGAGAGAGCAGAATTTTATCAGCATTTGGACAAGCCAAAGAGATCTAGAATCTTGGCCAGACTCACTGGAGCATTGTCCGGTGGACAATACAGTACAAAGGTGAAAGGATTCTTGGTGGTGACAGCCTCAACACACATGTCGCTTGAGGTGTCTGTTCCAGTCTGCGCTAGTTGAATATTTTGTTCTGCTCTTACATTTAATTTTTTGGATATAGACATCTAAGTTGCAAAATAATTTCCTTCAGAATTTTGAAAGTATTGTTACACTGTTACAGTGTTACTACAATGTTACTATTTTATACACTTTTTTCAAAAACATTTTATACGTATGATTTCTACAGCTTTTGTGTTTTCCAATTATCTTCTGTCAATTCTTATAAGTTTCTTTCTTTTGCTTTTTTTATGCAAAGGGCATTTTATTTCTTCTTAGATTTTCCAAATCCAATATTTAATTCATCAGTTTTTATTCTCTTATTTATTCGTTAAGCATATTTAGAGTTATAAATTTTCTTCCAAGGACTATTTTAACTGTATCCCATAAATTCTAATAGACAATAATTCTTTACATTTTTTTCCAGGTAGAAATTTTATTTTGAATTTCCTCTTTAATCAAACATCTGTTGAAAAGCAAATTTCGCAATATACAGAGGGTAGGAACTTTTGTGTTTTCTAAATTTGTTATTAATTTATAAAATTTTACGATCAGAGAAAGTTCTGTGTATTATTTTTATCTTAGCAATTAATAGTTTTTTTCTTTTTGGCCTAATATATAGTCACTTTTTGTGAGAGTTTTACAGATACTAAAACAGAATATTTTTTTGTTTTGTTGCAGGATATAGTCTAACTATATGTATATTAATTTGATTTACTTTAGATGATCTATCTTTACCTATTTTTCCACATAATCTATTATAAATTGAAAAATGAGTTAGTTAAAGTATTTTAACACTAATATATTGTCACTTTTTTCTCATCCTATCTCTTGTTTTTGCTTTACGCATGTTGATGTTATAGTTTGATGTTTAGATACTCTAACGATCGTATCTTCCTTGTAAATTTTATCCTTTAGTAATTAAGGGGGTCTCTTTTGTCTTACTTAAGGAATTTTTGCCCTGAATTCAACCTGCCCATTGTGAAGATTATAACCTCTCTTTTATTCTTGTTTGTGGTACCTGGAATACTTTAT